GCAGGCCTGGATAGCATCTCCATATTTTACAATAAACAGCACCCATCTTGGACCCTCAGAATCATTGTCTAATGATTAGGGTTGCTAGACTTCTGATGACATTTATTCTCCTAGCTCAGAAAATAAGGCTACAGATACTATTTTGAGTCTTTGGTCCCCTTTCCTGTGTGGGAAACAGAAAATGTTTCTCACTCTTTCTCTACCTCCACCCCACTTTATCATACTTTATCATGCTATACTAAAATAAATCCTTGCTAAAACTTCTACCCTGTGATACTCCTTGCTGTGAGACACCTTGAAATGCTTTTCATATTTGTGGAGCTCAATGACCTGTGATTTTGTGTGGAAACTGGGAAGCTGTAGGAACCCCCTCACCCCTCCTCCAGTAACACCTTCTATAATGGCTATACCAATTTACATTCCCATCAACAGTGAACAAGGGTTCCTATTTCTTTGCATCCTTGCCAACACTTACCTTTAAAAAAAGGGTAAATAATGGCCATTCTGGGTTGGTGATGTAGCTCATGATAAAGCACTTGCCTTACATGCATGAGGCTTGTGCTCTGTTGGGGATAGAACAAAAGGAATAGTGAGGCCGGTTAAAAATAGAGAAAGATGACTTGGGGGGACTCTTCATACCCCATGAAACATTTTCTTAGCACATTTCATGCTAAACTGCTTATCTGAGCCCAAAGTCATCATTTGTGTTATAACTTGTAAGACAAAAAGCCTTGGGGGTGATTCCACCCTCTATTGTCTCTCAGAGAAAGACATGAATATTGATCATACCCCAAGTATATAATTAAAATGCCTCAGTTAGCTTCAGTACTTGTGCAGATTAACTATCCTGAATATTGGCAGTTTAAAACGCCTTGAAACAGAGAGCCCACTCTTTTTCCTGCTTCTCCATCCCAACTGGCCTCCCTAGCTGGGCAGGTGGGGCCACCAATGCTTTTCGTGATGCCTTCCCCTTACCTTTAATAAACTCTTTTACATCCCTTACTACATCCACGTATCCTGTGTGGATTTTTCCTTACTGGACACAAAGAATTTGGGACCCTTCTGGTCAGATATAGACAGAGCCTACTGTAGCAAGGAGAAGGGCCAGAAAAGAAATAGACTGTGTTCTGATGACAGACAAGGGATGGCAAAACTGAGAGATAAAACTTAAAGAACTGAAACATGAAGGTCACATAACACTAGGAAAATGGAATGGGCAATGAAGTTACATGCAGCCACGTGTGGGTTGAGCTTTGCTTTTTGCTTCTGTAACCTGCTTGCAAGGGTATATAAGGTGAGGCATTTTTGTTCTTGGGGATCAGCATTTGGACACAAGTCCACTGGGTCTGTGTCGGCACAATAAAATGTTGCTTCCTGCTAAGCTGCCTCAGTGTCCCATATCTCAGCTTGAGATCCTGCAACATTTCTTGGGGGCTCGTCTGGGTTTGCAGAGATGGTGAGTCATCACCTCCCTTGTTACCAGGGTGCATCCCTCAGACCACTGGGAGAAGATCCCACCAGGCACCAACAGGAAGCTTGATCCAAAGTGGGGATTCATCCTCCTAGTGAGTTAGGGTGAAGGCCTCAGAATGCACAACAGAACCCAGTGAGGCGGTAGGATCCAACTTGGAAGCAGCACTCATCAGATTGGTAAGAACCTGGGTTCAAATTCAGGCCTGCCCCAGGAGGCAGAAGGGGAGACTGATCACCTCCCAGAGTCCACTAGTAACTGCCTTTTGGGGTGAAGCTGTGTCTCTCAGGTTCAGGGAGCAGGGCAGAAGTATTGTGCTATGCAAAAGTGTGTAAGACACCTCCAAGAGTTAATGGGAGTTTGAGTTTTTCCTGGGAAACAGTCACAACTGAGGTTAAGGATGGATAACAAAAAATTCAGTCCCAAATGGTGAAGAACAGATGTATCATCCACCGTTCCACTGGATAACCCTCTGGATATAATTTAAATATTCTTTTCTTTTTTTTTTTTGAGAATGCATTCTAATTGCGTGTGTGTGTAAATTTGTTTAAAGCACTGGGCAAAATTTAATTTGCTCCTGGAATTCCAGCTCATCTTATGAGCGCTTAAGTTGACATTTTTTTCCTGGCATACTTAATTTATAAAAGTTGTGTGTATGTGTAAGCATCTTCAAAATGGTTCTTAAACTGCTGTTATAAGGTTAATGTGATAGTCAAGGTAACAAAAAACCAGGGTGTTTGTTTTAAAGATATTTGTTACAAACTGCTTAAACTTTTTACATTTAAATATGTAAACACATGAGGATGGTTCTTATTATAAAGTAAATGTAAAAAATTATTACTCTGTTCTACTGCTACTTTAAAAAAAACCAGATTTTCAAACTCATTTCAATCAGGTCTCTCTAGGATGCAGGCATTCAGGGGTTAACACTCCGGCTTAGATCAGAGGAGGAAAAAAAGAAAAAAAAGGTGTGGGGGGGTACAACCTGCAACATGAATCTTAAAGTTTGGGCAGTTAAAAATGACCTTAGCCTGTTTCATTCTGTCATAGATAAAATCTGGGATTTAATTCACTCTTATAATACATGGGTCTATTAACAAATGGGCTTTCTATGAATTGTTTTTATACAAAAAATAATTTTAAGGCTTCTTTCTTTCTTTTTTTCCATACAAATATAAGGTTCTAAGTTAAAAGTTTTTATGAGTTATTTTCAACAAGTTATATATATATGATATTAAGGATATGGTTTTTAAAAATAAGAGGTTAAAAAATACTTTTAAGTTAAAAAAAGATAAAGACAAGCTACCCCAGGGAATACAAAATAAGTTGTCGTAAGGTATAGAGTAAGTTGTCATAAAAAGATGGAGTTTATAAATGCTTATATAAGTGATTGAGTTGACTAAAATCCAGTTACATTAAAGGTTTTGTAAAGTCAAAATGTAATGTACTGATGTTGATGAGCTGAGTGCTTACTCTGTCTTTTCCCAAGCATGTCCCCAGCTGTGTAATTAATCTTCTTTCTCTGCCTTCACCATGTCTCTTTATTTGGAATAGGGGCAGGTGGCTGGAGCTGCCATATGGTATCTCAGGAGTTTGGGCCTTGGGTCCAAAGCTGGTTTCAGGACCACAAAAGGAAAAAAGTTTTTGTATAGCCAGCTTGCTTGCTGGTCAGTTTACTCTGTTTTTTTTAACTAACATTCTTTCCTTCTTTGTCTTAATGTTGGAGAATCCAGTAACAAAGATTGAGTCTCTTTGCTCTTCAATTAGACCAGGAAGGCTTCTACCTGTTATCTCTTCCTGACTACTGCAGTAAACCTGCTAGTAAACATACAGCTTCAGAGGAGAAGTGGTATTGAACACCAAAGAATTAAGGCCCGTGGCCATGGTAAACATGCATCTAGTCACACAGTCAAGTGGAGCCCCTGAACTGTCCTTTAAAAAGCACACATTTTCTCTCAGAAGTGGGATGACATTGAGAGTTTGACTCTCCTTGTCCTCCTCTTCCTGTGAGAAATAATAAACCTTATTTCCTTTTCCTCAAAAGACTGTCTCATTATTTGTAAATGATAAATTGGCATTGAGGTCAGGGGACTGGCTTTCCAGGTACACACAGACCCACCCCCGAACTTCAGTCCCCTACTTAAGCACATTTTTGTATTTGGTTAGCAATAGTGATAGGCAGCAGCCAAGTGATGGCTGCTAGAGAAAGAAAGGAAAAAGTAATTGTAATTAAATTTCCCAACTCCACTAGTCTCCATTAAGATCAATTAACCAGGGACTGCAAATATCACAGGATGTTTTGAAGGCAGCTATTCACCTAAAGCTTAATTCCTTCTTTACTCAAGAGTAATCACCACCTTAAACATCAGCTAGGTCTGGTGCTGGTAGTTTACACAGGATAAAGACCCAGGGACCCAAGAGTTACATCCTTGACATTTGATAGAGCAAAGGTTAGAAATTTCAAACAGAAATTCTCTATTAATTAGAACAGGAACTGGTATTTGACACTGGTAATCTCTCTTATTTAACAAGACAAAGACTCAAACCCAGGAATCCATCCCACGGGCCAAGTGAACTCAAAGATAAAGAGTTCTTCGATAAATACTACAACTGTAATACCTGACTTGTCATTCTTACTCTAGAGAAGACCCACTTTCAGTCTATTGAAAGTATATTCCTCTAATAAGCTTTACTGTGACTTTTATCTTTGCATCTTGCTTGAGTTCTTTTCCTGCCAGACACAAGTACTGAGGTATTTATTATCACTATTTTGTTGTTGTTGTTAACAATAGTGGTGGTGGCCCAGCTCTGAGAAGCCCCTGAGCAGTACCTTTTCCCTAGTTTGCGACAGAAATTAGAAAAGGCAAAGTTCAAGTACATCTCAGAACCAAACCAAACTAGAACCCCCTAAAGATTTGATAGATAGATAGAAATTTTGCGTTTCTGGGGAAATAATGAACAGACTTTGGAAATGTAAATTGACACAAAGATTATGGAGTGCACCTACCGTATAACCCAGATATTTTATTTAAGTGTATATATTACAGCAATATTTCTCTTTGCGGAATATAATTCACTAAGCATCACAAATCAGTTTTGTGGCTGAGAACAAATGTCTTTTGAAAGGTGCGAAGGAGGTTACCATATCAAAAAACTTAAAGCAAAAAGGACATATACCTTTCATGCCTCATGTTAAAAAAAAAAAGAGACGTGTATCTGTAGCCAGAATTATCAGAAGAACTTAAAAGCAAGATTATCTAATGCTCCCCCTACATTCGAATTTCCCAATGGGTTCCAAATCGCCTTAGGCAGTAAACCAGGATTTCCAAGAAGGTCTCCCAACTCAGTCCCCACCAGTGAGACGAGAATCTGGGGCAGCTGGTCTACAGCAGTGGACCCCTGAAACTAGCCTACTTTCTGCTGGACGGCGCGTGGTATTGTGGGAAATGTAGTGTTCCTCTCCCGCACAGAACCATGGCGCGGAACTCTGGGAACGGCTCTTCGTATTCTTCCTGCGCGTGCGCTTCCCGCACGGAAGTTCGGGCTCTTGGGGCTTTCCGACGTTACTCCGAGGGCTCTGGGGCTGGATTTTGCGTCCCTGAAGGCTGGTGCCACAGTGGCAAAGGAGCCCCCGCCACGGCGGACCGTGGGAGTTGAGACGTGCAGGTGCGAGCCGTGGGTTGGGCCGTGCGGGCGCAGCTCTGTGGGTTCCGTGGGTCCGGGTCCAGGGAAGGGACGACTCGGACTGGGTTTCATGATTGCTGTGTCAGAGTCGGTGCTGCGGGGAACCAGTGTTCCTCCAGGTGGAAGAAGCTGGTTTTAGAAGCTCTGCGATCGGGCTGGGGGTTCTGCAGACTGCGAGAGGTAGGAGGCGTGCGTTTACATTCCGGATCCGCCACTAAGGATCCTGCTGTTAACCTACGCGACATTCAGCTTGCTGGTCTGTAAAGTGAGCGCAGTGACAATCCTAGTGAAATCCCTTCCAGTTTCCGGAGAAATTGTGAAGTGTGTGCTGGCCGAGTCTTCTCATGTGGTAGTTGTATTTGGGGGGTTCCGTGATGCCTCTTCAAGTGATGGTTCTGGGTGCCTGCACCGTGCAGCCTGCCTAGTACTCGGGTTTGAGTTTACAGAAATTTATACACGACCTCTTTTCCAAAGACAGTTCTCCTTAGGAGATTGGGGTACTGGATGATGGTCATATAATCTTTGGAATTAAATAGTTGCGGCAAAGTTTGAAGGATGGCGCCACATGAACAGGTATCCCCTCCAGAAGGAACACCCCTGCCCTCCGAACTCTCACTAGCACAAAAGATAGTCAGAAGAGTCAGAGAAAGGGGAAGAGCTGGCTTTCCATGGCCTAAGCAATTATTGGTCCTATTGCCGAGAGTGCACAGGATTCGTTTGGTAATATTTTACCCGAAGCTCTCAACTACAAGGTGCTGTTTGGCAGGTTTGGACCAACTTTTAGGAGCGAGAGGTACGGTGGAGTGAGGGATAGGCCAGGACCTATCAAATGTTACTTACTGGAGGGACCATGAGGCTGTGCCCTGGGGTGCAGGAATACTCTGTCACACCTGAGAGGATCAGTTTTCAGTACTCCATTTTCATTCCTTCAGTAACACCACCCCCCGCTGTTTTTCTGTTATCTGCACTCAAATTTAGCATATTACTAAATGTGACATCTAGAGATGTGCTGATGCTCCCTCTATCCTGATGGCTCTTTCTGGTAATTCAGGAAGGGTTTGCCAGGGTTCTTCTGCCTTATAAGAAAAATGAAAAAAAAAAAATTTAAGGCCATGTATTTGTAGACCTTAGGTCTCCTGACTTTTTAGCTAGTATTATTCATTCTACCACAATCTAGTAAAAATAATTGTTTTTTTTTCACTTCTCAAGTTCTTTTTGTGAACTGAGATTGTTTTAAAATACCTTACCTTAAACATGCCTCTCCTTTTTTTTAAATCCGTAGCATTTCCTGTGGTTATGTGACTTCAAAGTATTAACACAAGTGTTTTCTAGTTAATGTCATTAATCTGTTCTTTGAAATCATAAATTCTGCAATAAAAGAATGAGCCTATTTTACACTACTTAAAATGGGAAAGACTAGGGGGCAATGTAACTAATGTACAATATAAGCCTAATTGGAATTGCCACTATGAATCTCCCCTGTATAATGAATATATCCTAATAAAAAATTACAAAAAATCGGAAGAAAAAAATGGGAAAGACTGCATACACTTGTGCCCCAAACCAATTTCATAAAATGAAAATAAAATACAGTACAATGCATTCTTTTAAGTACAGATTAGATACTCGTAATCCAAAAGTCTGAATTCCAAAACCTTAAATTTTTTGGATTAGGGATGTTCAATCTGTAAAGTCTATGCCGATATTAAAAGATACAAAACAAAACAAACCTGTGAAATCTATAACACTTCTGGTCCAAGCATTTCAGATATGGGACAGTCAGCCTGTAACACACTCATTTTATGTTTTAAAAAAGTAAAAAGACATGTTTATGATGCCGAAAAACTTAAAATTGATGTGAAAACATTTGCTTTTTAATGATTGATTAGCACTAGCAACCTCACTGAAGTCCATACAGTTAACATTGTAATTTTCATAATGTGTATGTGTGGCTGTGAAGTTAACTTGATTGTATTTTAATACTTTCTCCCTTACATAATTTTGTTTAAAAACATTGAGCTTTTGATGATATCAGAATTTATAGTGTAATGAGCCAACCATACTGGCAAATGCACTTTATTTGTTTGAAGATCTGTGGATCCACATTTTGGGGTGGTTTCAACTAGGCATATTGTGCTAGTGTTGTTTGGGTCACAGGTGAGGCTTTAGTCATCTGGTTCCCTGACTGAGGATGGTTGGTTTAAGATGGGGCCATTCACCTGGCCAGTAATTTATGTTGTCTCTTGACTAGGCCCTGTATCTCTATCAGGATAGCCAGGTTCTTCACAGTATGACTGTGTCCAGGAAGGCTAGTGCCAGTGGACAAGGAAATTTCAAAGTTGTGTTTACATCATATATAGTGATGTCTCAGAATAGGGTACCATAAGAAATATAAATTTTATATGCTTTCCTATATAATTGTGGGTGAAAATGTTGGGTTGCAACATGTAACCATTAAGTTTAAGTGTGCAAAAGCAGGAGGTGTGGTGGAAGTGCTAATAGGAAAATAGTTCATACATTCCTAAGTATATTTCTGTAACATTAGTTTTACTGAAGACATAGTATATCTTCTTTTGTTTAAATTTTTCAATTATTTCTTTGTTGAACATTAATTGTTGGTAATTCAGTAGGAAATATTGACCCTAAAATGAATTATATTTATAATCTGTAGCACCTAATGGACTGTAGGTGCATCTGCCAATAGGGACTATGATGCCCTTGCTTGATTCACAAAAGGCTTTTCCCACAGGAAGGCTTTTTTTCTTTACCAGCCCATTGTAGTGTTTTGAACAGGGAATCTAGAACAAAGAGAGTCCTTTCCTAACTCCACTCTGTTTGCCTCTTGTCCCAGCTATGCTTCCAGATTCTTCTGTGGATTACCAACAGCAACAAAAAATGAATGAATCTCTGGTGAGTTGTTTTTTATTCCTCATTTTGTTTTACATTACATTTTATGAACTTTACAGGGTTTAAGAATTAAGATAGAAAAGTAATATTTAGCCTCTGGGAAATGTACATAAATAAGATAAAGAAGGACTGTAGATATAGCAGATTATAAGACCTTAAAGTCATCTAAGTTGAGTGCAGATTTGTCTCTGGTTTTTCTGATATTATAGAAAAAAGGCAGTCACACTTGATACATGATTCAGCGAAATCTAAGAGGTGACCATGCTAATTTCTCATGGGATGGGATTTGAAGACTTGCTGGAAACAGGTCTGAAATGTCATCTGCATTGGTCACATTTAACTACCTTAATGAAATTTTTCTAGAGTTGCTGAAATAGTGTGATCCTGGACTGCTTTGTATGTTTTGGGAGACTGAGTTGACCATCTATCCTTAAGTAACTATCCTTACATTCCTTTTGGCTCATGTGTACCTCCTGTATGGAGTGTGGCAGATTGCACGAGGTTGTATTTTCTAGCAAATATTTCCACTGCTCATTTGTACTTTAACCCACTCAATGAGGTCTTAATTCATTTTTCCAAAAGCCCACCAGTAACCTAAATTATAGTCAAACTCAATGACTGCTGCTGTCTAGTCTTTGCCTTGAAACTTCTACTGTATTTGATGATACTATGATCTTCTGAAAATCCTCCTCTGTTCTTTTCTACTGTGGCCTTCCATGATTTCTTCTTTATTTCCCTTAATTTTTCTGTGTCTTTTTCCTTCCAAGAGCTCCATCTGAGGCCCCATTTTTTTGTTTAGTTTACCTTGGCTGATGTAGCCCTCTGATTTGATGTATCTGTTTCTCTTCAACTTAGATCTCGTTCAGATTTTGGACCAGAGGTTTAACTTCCTGTTGACTGTTTCTTTACAGCTATCTCAAAGGCATTTCAAACTCCACAAATCCAAAATGAGAGTGACATCTTATCCCTTACATAGGAAAATTTCTAACTTCTAGCCAGTGACCCACAGTGACAAAACAGAATTTCTCCCAGCTCTTCCCTTTTTTCAGGTCTAACCCTATTCTGATGTGGTACCACTTTTGTTTTTTATTCTCACTTTATTCTAGTATCTGCATCCAGTGCTATATATGGAGAGGAACTTATGGCACTCACAAACAAATACAGTAGCTTGATTTATTACATTTGCAATACCACTCTTGGCAAAACCTGTAGGACGTTTGCTTTCTTGTAGCATTTGATCCCTTAGGAACTGTGCTTCTAGTCAGCATGTTTGGTTATGTCCTTCAGAGTCTACTGGGGGAAAGCATTCAGGAGTAACTGGACATGTTTGAACAAGGGCAATGAAAAGATGTACAAAGAATAAAAACAAAATACCAGATTTTAATGATTTGTGCCTTTTGCCTGTAAGCATGGCAGTTATTCTATTTGTAGTTCTTATTGTGCACTTGTATGTTTTCAGCTAAAAAACGATTTATCATGTTTTCAAACTCTTTTAAATTATAATTAGTTCTTTTGCTATTTCAACTAACCACTTAAAATTAATAGGCAAAATAGAACATAGATAAATATATCAGTTATATGTATGATAAAATTTGTGTAATGGAGGGAGCTTTTTCTCTCACTCCCTTGTTGGAGCGAGCTTTTCCTCACTCCTGGTTATTACCTAATCTAACTGGGGCCTAACTGGGGGCGACTGGAGATTCAGAAAAGACACAGGATAGACAGACAGACAGAAAGAAAGTGGGATCAGGACCCACCATGTTTCTAAAGTCTTCTTTAAAATCTCTTTCCTTAGACTCACTCTGTCCCATGTTTTCTCTTATCTGTTAAAGTCTTTGCCTCCACGCTTGCATTGTCCTATGTTCTCTCTTTAGCTTTCTTAAAGCCTCAGTGCTCAGACTTGCAAACAACTTTTTAAAGAAGCCACATAAGTTTGGTATCATCCTCCTGTGTCATGTCTCTGTTTTTATGAATGGTTTCTGTGGTCACAGATTGTGTTGATATTTATTTCCTCTCCATTTGAGCTTTTCATTATTAGTTTTTGCATAATGTATCTTCTCCCATCCCTTTGCCTCAATCCGTGTCTTTGTATTTTATTTTAGCGTGTTTGTCTCCAGAGTGTCTTTTGTGAATAGCATATTGTTTAGTCTTTTTTTTCTTTTGTCAAGACAGCAGTCACTGCCTTTGAGTATTTACTCTATTTACATTAAACTATTGATGTGACTTGATTTAGGACTACCATTTTGCTACCTATTTTCTATTTCTGTCATCTGATTTTTTCTTTTTCCAATCTTCCTTTGGGTTAACCAGATATTTCTAGTATAGTTATGTCTGGTTATACACAAGGGATGGTACCAGGAACCCTCACAGATACCACAGTCCTATAGATGCTCAAGTTCTTTATACAAAATGGTGCATTATTTTTATATAATGTAGATACATGCTCCCATACATGTTGAATCATCTTTAAATTGTTAGATCTGATGCAATTTAAATGCTATGTAAATAGTTGGTATACTGCATTGTTCAGGGAATAATGACAATTTTTAAGTCTGTACATATTCAGTACAGGGACCATATTTTTCCAATAATTTTTGATCCATAAGTAAGTTTGAATCTGTGGATTCAGACCCATGAATATGTAATTCTTTGAAAAGTTTGTTAAGATTATGTGTGAGCCCTAATCTGGTCATTATGAGTCACCTATATATTGTAATTTTTTGGTTTAAACAATTATATTTTCAATAGATTAACTGAAGGAAAAGTTAAATATAGTCCTTTATGCTTACCTACAGAGTTACCATTTCTGTGATCCTAATTCTGGCTGCACATCCAGTTAGTATCTCTTGTCATTCTCTTTGACCCTGAAGAACTTTCTGTAACACTCTTGAAGTACGGGTGTGCTAGTGAGGAATTGTCTTCATTTGAAAGCATCTTTAATCCACATGATTTTTAGAATACATCCTCAGGACAAAGGATTGTGAATTGAATGATACATCCTTTTAGCACTTTAAAGATGCCTTTCTATTTTGTGATGAAGAGTCAGCATTTATGCCCAGCATGGAGAATTGGCCATACTTCATCTGTGGTGGTGTGGTGTCCAGCATGGGAGTCAAAAGCTTCCCTTGTACACCTCTGCAAATTGGTACCAAATTATGTTTCTGCCACTTTCTTTATTTATTTCCCCCCTTTTTATGGGATGACTTCCCTCTTCTTTATTCTTATTTTTCTATGTCCTACTGTAGGTGATTATGTCTTCTTGCCCTCTGACTGTCTTTTAAGCCCTTCCCTATTCCCCTTCAGTCCTTCTAGGAGATACTGTTAAAATGCAAATCTTGTCAAGAAACTTACTTTTTATTTGCCTCTTATTATCTGTACCCTGTATTTTAGGATATGAGTGATGTTTGCTTTTATATTCACACTAGTAGTTCCTTAGTATGTAGGAGGGAAATGTAAGGATGCCTATGAACATACTTTAATGTGTAGGTGCTTTACCACAACAGTGAGCACATGAGTCTTTATTGTTGAAGTTAAATCATATTAAAGTCTGACATCAGTCCTTAATCAGCTGCTTGACTACTACCTTTAACACTTACCTGAACACAGTGCTCTTTGTAGGTCTGTTAATGGGTGTGTTCCTTGTGATTTCATGACTATAGCCTAGTATTCACATAGAGGATCTAAACAGGCTTTGCAGTGAAGCACAACTTGCTAACACAGGAAAAAATATTTTTTCCTACTTTCTGTTACCCTGATTTACAGTGAACTTGTATGGAAATGAGATTACCATACTATTTCAGAACATATTTATAATTAATGTTGTCATGCCAGATCATTAGCTGCTTAGAGGAGAATTTTTTTTAATGTCTCTATCCTGAGCACCAGAGATATTTGCTGATCTATAAAGGAAATTTTGTCATGGTATTTTAGTAATTAACAAATTAGTACAGAGGCAGGTTATTTTTACTGTTGTCTTTCTTTTTCCCACCCTGTAGAGTACAAAACAAGCTCCATCTTATGTAAGACACAAACACATAGAAGAATGAATTGCCAGAATTCGTGTTGTGTTCTCATGACTCAGGGATAATGACTTGGGTTAAAAAGAAATGTGCTGTTACAGGGGTTGGTGTCATTTGAGGACGTGGCTGTGGACTTCAGCTGGGAGGAGTGGCAGGACCTGGATGATGCTCAGAGGACCCTGTACAGGGATGTAATGCTGGAGACCTACTGCAGCTTGGTGTCCTTGGGTGAGCAAAAGTCATAGTAGTAACTCCTAGGAGCAAGTGCTTTCTTCTTAGTAGGTATATGAACTCTTAGCAGTTCAATGCTATTTAGATGTAAGATTCCAGTCCATGAAGAGTGTGTTACCTCTCTCTAATAAAAGGTTCAAATTAGTTGCACAGCTCTGTAAGCCATACTTTTGTCATTCTTCAAATGACCTGAGTTAGCAGTTTGGCAAAAGTCCTATGCCATTTCCCATCAACAGGGCATTGTGTTCCCAAACTTGAAGCAATCATCAAGTTGGAACAAGGAGCAGAACCATGGATGGGTGAAGAACCTCAAGACCAGAGCCTTGTAGGTGAGTCGGCATGTCTGCACAGGGAGGCTGGGAAGAGCAGAGCCAAGCTGGTATGGGCCTTATTGAGCTGTTCTCAGCAGTGTTCCCAGCCCTTACACCTGAGGACAGCTGCTCTCATGCAGTGCATATCTGCTTTATGCAGTCTCCATAGTGGCTCTTGTGTAAATCCACCTGCCCTACATTTTCTTAGATGTTCTAAGACTCCATTCACTCTGGCTCTTCGAATTTCTGCTTGGTTTGTTTCTCTAAGTTTTTAGTTTCCTGTTTTTCTTCCATTCTTGAGGACTGTCCCCTCTGCCCCCTGCCAGATGTTTAGTCACTTCTTTCAGTATTTCAGCAATTCATGGGTGCTAGTGTTTTTGTTGTTGTGGGGAGAGGAAAATAATCAAGCAAATTATCTCCTTTTAGAGCACTTAAATTCTTTTGAGAGAGAAACCCAAATATATGTAGTTGTGAGATAAGAGCCACAAAGAATGTTTAGCCTGGATGAGATAGAAGAAAAATGGGGTGTTAATTTAGGGAGGCATATGAGGGGAGGTAGTTTTAGAGAGATTATTGCTTATTTTGGGATAGCTTAATTTTGAGGTGATGAGTCCCCAAGTTTGACATATAATACATAGGTGGATATGCAACCTAGAATGTAGTGTGCATCACTGTTGGAGATATGACTTTTGAAATCAGTAGTTTATAGTTGGTATTTAAAATCAAAAGCTGATCTTTATAGAGAAGCTCACCTATGGGGCTGTTGAGAAATGAGAAAATAGGTATAGGAGTAGCCTTGTGCACCAAGATGTCTGAGACCAGGAGGATCCAGCATAGGCAGAAATGTCCTATGCCATCTCCCATTAACAGGACACCGTGTTCCCAAACCTGAGGGGTTCATCAAGCTGGAGCAAGGAACAGAGCCGTGGATGGGAGAAGAACCCCCAGATCAGAGCCTTGTAGGTGAGTCAGTATATCCTGGATGGGGAGATTGGGAAGAGTAGAGCTTAGCTGGTAGGGACCATGTTGAGTTGTTCTCAAGAATGTCCCCAACTCCTAGGAGTTCTGGACATGGCAGGAGAAGTAGGAGGTCTTGGGTCTGAAGGCCAAGTGAACCAAGGGCTGTTATGTTGGCATTCATATTTTTATGAGTGGAATTTCAGATTAGCATTTCCCCCTTTTCTTTTGGAAATCATTCTGAAACAACAAAGATAATGAGAAATGTACAGGAGACTTCATTTTTTATGAAACTAGGAGTTGGCTGAAATGACAGTGCACAAAGTAAAAACATTAGGAGTCATTAAGCATGTGTGCATGCTTAGACCAGCAGGTAGTGGCCTGAGGTGGTGAGTTGGTGTCTCCTGTGCCTGTTGTGGTTCTGAGAAGCAGGAGTGTCAGGTTAGAGTAGGAATTTGGAAGACACTGTCTTCCTCTAGGATGGAGAAGAAGGGACTTGAAAACCCCCACAGATACCTATAGTCATTCCCAGGGATAAATGAGGACTGAACAAATGCAGGTGCAAATCCTGATACTCAGGAACTGTTACTGTTTAGGTGACAGAGAAAGTGCCCTATTATGTCTACCTTGTTGGCTCTGATCTTGGAAAATCTTTAAATCTTTCTGTCTTGTAAGCTAAAGGTTGAGAAGAGAAGCAGCACAAAATACCCACAGTTAAGAAAACAAAGAAATGAAACAAACAAAAAACGGAGAAAAAGAACAAGGAAAATGGTAGATGAGAAGTACTTGACAGGTTGCAGTTGAGTATTTTGACTAAATGTTGTCTTAGATTATTAAAAGAGGAAGAAAAATGTAGGCAGAGAAAAATGTGATTTAACATCATAAAATTTTTTCAGTATTGTTACATTAACCTGTTAGGGAAAAAAGCATGTAGTTATCATAAATCAGCATCTGTTATTGATACTTTAAAATCCTCAGTAGCTATGATGGAAAGAAATGTCTGCCTTTACATGAGCATTACAAAGATGTGGTTCATTTAAAAAAAATTTTTTTTGTTAATCATTTCAGATGTCCGGCAAGTGGATAAACTGATTGAGAATTGCCAGGAAAGTCCAGACAGACATCTGTGGCAAGTTGTAATCACCAACGGTAACACAGCAGAGCAGAGAGTTGGATTAGGAAGAACTTTTAATATGAGCTCAAACCATATTTCAAAGCTGATTTTGAACAATGGGAACTACTTAGGAATGAGAAGTGAAGAGTTTATTGTGTATCAGAATATGCTTCTCTCTAGTAAGCCTGATGAGAGGTTTCCTGGAGAGAAGTCTGGTGCCTGTCATGTTGCTGGGAAACCTCTCAGATATCCTGAACATTTTAGTGAGCATCATGATAGTCAGTCTGGGCAGCAGAATTTTGAATATGATGCAGAAAGGAAAGCATTTAACACAGAGACAATATTCTTTATACATAAGAGGGTTCCCATTAGAGAGCCGTCCTATGACAAGTCTGCTCTCATTGTCCAAGAGATAACTCAGGTAGGGAGAAAAACTTCTGAATGTAATGTGTGTGGGAAAACATTCTATGTAAAGCATATCTTCACTAAACAGAAAATGCTTGTAGGAGAGAACCCCTATACATGTAGTGAATGTGAGAAATCCTTTAAGAAAGAATACCTTGCAAAACTTCAGAGGAAATATACAGAGGAGAAGCCCTATGAGTATATCACATATACAAATTCTTTGTGTCAGCAGTCAGACCTCACTTTACTACCTAGAACTCACATAGGTGAGAAACCCCACGAATGTAATGAATGTAGGAAATCTTTCTACCGCAAATCAGACCTCACTGTTCATCAGAGGACTCATACAGGAGAGAAACCCTATGAATGTAATGAATGTAGGAAATCTTTCAACCAGAAGTCAAACCTCAGCAGGCATCAGAGAATTCACACAGGAGAGAAACCTTACGAATGTAACAAATGTGGGAAGTCTTTCAACCAGAAGTCAGACCTCATTTTACATCAGAGGACTCACACAGGAGAAAAACCATATGAATGTGATGAATGTGGGAAATCTTTCTACAAGAAGTCAGACCTCACTGTACATCAGAGAAAACACACAGGAGAGAAACCCTATGAATGCCATGAATGTAGGAAAACATTCTATCAGAAATCAAAACTCACCGTACATCAACGAACTCACACAGGAGAGAAACCCTATGAATGCAATGAATGTGGGAAGTCTTTCTACCAGAAGTCTGACCTCACTGTACATCAGAGAACCCACACAGGAGAGAAACCCTATGAATGTAACAGATGTAGAAAATCCTTCTACCAGAAGTCAGTCCTCACTGTGCATCAGAGAACACACACAGGAGAGAAACCCTATGAATGCAATGAATGTAGAAAAACCTTTTGCCAGAAGTCACACCTCAGCAGGCATCAGAGAACTCAACACAAAGTAGAAACCCTGTGAATGTAAAGAATGTAGGATCTTTCAGCCAAAAGTCAAATCTCAGCAGGCATCAGAGAACTCACACCGTAGAGGAACCCCATAAATTGAGGAAAACATTTTATCCAAAATCACATCTCACAGAACATCAGAGAATTTACAGAGAAATCCTGCATGACAAAGATGGTCTATGTGTTCTCTAAAATCCACTCTTGGCATACACTGAGTCCACACTTCTCAGCCTCTCACTATCTTTGGTTGGGATTGTGTACCTGAAAATTGTCCACAGGATATGGACACAGTGATGGACATTATTTCAGGCCTGGCAACAGATGACCAGAAATACCTTCTTATTTCTTATGCCCTTTGGGAGGGACTGAGGTCAGATTTCCCCCAAGTGGCCTTTGGAGTTACAGATGGGAGAAGGTTCCCATATACCCGCCAAGGAATTCATTGAGGAGAGCAAGGTCTTCCCACTGCAACCTTGAAATCTCTTTTGTACTTGACATTAGTGAGAAATAAATATTCATTGTTAAGCTATTGCATGTGTGACCTGTTTGCATTATAATAGAAACATCCCAATGTTTTGTTTTTGAATGTGGAAAATCTGAGAGAAGGTACTGTTGGGATATTCAAGCAGGGAAATGGGACACCAAGGGTTTTCAGGAAGCAATATTAGTGGCTGAGCAGATTCTCATGCAAAGGTTGAGCCCTGAGAACAAAGGGGCCTTTTGTTATATACCCTTACAAGCAGGTTACAAAAGCAAGAAGCAAAGTTTAGCCCATATATGGTCGCATGCATCTCTATTGGCTACTTTACCCTCAATGCTATGTGACCTTCCTCCTGTTCATATTCTTTAAGTTTTATCTCTCTGTCATGCTGTCCCCTCCTCCCTGCTACATTATCCCCACCTTTGATGCTTGGGCCACCTAGAGTCAAAGAGCATCATCCTGATTCAGGGGTTTGTGTTTCTATAGCATCATTACATGGGGGTCTTGTTTTCCTTTTTGCAGTGACCTCCATAATGGTCCTGATTGATGCAATACCAAGGGAACCAAGCAAGGCAGTATTAAACGTGCTCCTGAGGCAAGAATCATTGCTCCTATCAGGGTCTTGAATCTACCAGTGCAGAGAAGCATCCTCCAAACAGGTTTATTGGGATCCCATCCTCTCCAAATTTGGACAGGGACATGGTCAGTCTTTCTCATCCTGTCTGTGATTTTCTCTATGACCTTTTGTTTATCATCAATCTGTAGACAGATGTTATTTAGATTGAACTTTCTACCTCCCCTGGGGGCAAGTAAATTGTCCAAGGCTTAGGGGGTTTTAGTATATTACATTGCAGACCTTTGTGTGCTGTTTGGCTGGTAGGTCAAAGACTTGCAGTTTCAGTAGATGATTTCAACTAGCACCTGGAGATGAATGATGTGGTTGAGCATATAAATTGGGGTTAGGGTTGGGGTTTGGGGTTCGGTTTAGGGTTCGGGTTAGGGTTAGGGTTAGGATTAGGGTTAGGGTTAGGGTTAGGGTTTAGGGTTAGGGTTAGGGTTAGGGTTAGGGTTAGGGGTTAGGGTTAGGGTTAGGGTTAGGGTTTAGGGTTAGGGTTAGGGTTAGGGTTAGGGCTAGGGTTAGGGTTAGGGTTAGGGTTAGGGTTAGGGTTAGGGTTAGGGTTAGGGTTAGGGTTAGGGTTAGGGTTAGGGTTAGGGTTAGGGTTAGGGTTAGGGTTAGGGTTAGGGTTAGGGTTAGGGTTAGGGTTAGGGTTAGGGTTAGGTTAGGGTTAGGGTTAGGGTTAGGGTTAGTTAGGGTTAGGGTTAGGGTTAGGGTTAGGTTAGGGTTAGGGTTAGGGTTAGGGTTAGGGTTAGGGTTAGGGTTAGGGTTAGGGTTAGGGTTAGGGTTAGGGTTAGGGTTAGGGTTAGGGTTAGGGTTAGGGTTAGGGTTAGGGTTAGGGTTAGGGTTAGGGTTAGGTTAGGGTTAGGGTTAGGGTTAGGTTAGGGTTAGGGTTAGGGTTAGGGTTAGGGTTAGGGTTAGGGTTAGGGTTAGTTAGGGTTAGGGTTAGGGTTAGGGTTAGGGTTAGGGTTAGGGTTAGGGTTAGGGTTAGGGTTAGGGTTAGGGTAGGGTTAGGGTAGGGTTAGGGTTAGGGTTGGGGGTTAGGGTTAGGGTTAGGGTTAGGGTTAGGGTTAGGGTTAGGGTTAGGGTTAGGGTTAGGGTTAGGGTTAGGGTTAGGGTTAGGGTTAGGGTTAGGGTTAGGGTTAGGGTTAGGGTTAGGGTTAGGGTTAGGGTTAGGGTTAGGGTTAGGGTTAGGGTTAGGGTTAGGGTTAGGGTTAGGGTTAGGGTTAGGGTTAGGGTTAGGGTTAGGGTTAGGGTTAGGGTTAGGGTTAGGGTTAGGGTTAGGGTTAGGGTTAGGGTTAGGGTTAGGGTTAGGGTTAGGGTTAGGTTAGGGTTAGGGTTAGGGTTAGGGTTAGGGTTAGGGTTAGGGTTAGGGTTAGGGTTAGGGTTAGGGTTAGGGTTAGGGTTAGGGTTAGGGTTAGGGTTAGGGTTAGGGTTAGTTAGGGTTAGGGTTAGGGTTAGGGTTAGGGTTAGGGTTAGGGTTAGGGTTAGGGTTAGGGTTAGGGTTAGGGTTAGGGTTAGGGTTAGGGTTAGGGTTAGGGTTAGGGTTAGGGTTAGGGTTAGGGTTAGGGTTAGGGTTAGGGTTAGGGTTAGGGTTAGGTTAGGGTTAGGGTTAGGGTTAGGGTTAGGGTTAGGGTTAGGGTTAGGGTTAGGGTTAGGGTTAGGGTTAGGGTTAGGGTTAGGGTTAGGGTTAGGGTTAGGGTTAGGGTTAGGGTTAGGGTTAGGGTTAGGGTTAGGGTTAGGGTTAGGGTTAGGGTTAGGTTAGGGTTAGGGTTAGGGTTAGGGTTAGGGTTAGGGTTAGGGTTAGGGTTAGGGTTAGGGTTAGGGTTAGGGTTAGGGTTAGGGTTAGGGTTAGGGTTAGGTTAGGGTTAGGGTTAGGGTTAGGGTTAGGGTTAGGGTTAGGGTTAGGGTTAGGGTTAGGGTTAGGGTTAGGGTTAGGGTTAGGGTTAGGGTTAGGGTTAGGGTTAGGGTTAGGGTTAGGGTTAGGGTTAGGGTTAGGGTTAGGGTTAGGGTTAGGGTTAGGGTTAGGGTTAGGGTTAGGGTTAGGGTTAGGGTTAGGGTTAGGGTTAGGGTTAGGGTTAGGGTTAGGGTTAGGGTTAGGGTTAGGGTTAGGGTTAGGGTTAGGGTTAGGGTTAGGGTTAGGGTTAGGGTTAGGGTTAGGGTTAGGGTTAGGGTTAGGGTTAGGGTTAGGGTTAGGGTTAGGGTTAGGGTTAGGGTTAGGGTTAGGGTTAGGGTTAGGGTTAGGGTTAGGGTTAGGGTTAGGGTTAGGGTTAGGGTTAGGGTTAGGGTTAGGGTTAGGGTTAGGGTTAGGGTTAGGGTTAGGGTTAGGGTTAGGGTTAGGGTTAGGGTTAGGGTTAGGGTTAGGGTTAGGGTTAGGGTTAGGGTTAGGGTTAGGGTTAGGGTTAGGGTTAGGGTTAGGGTTAGGGTTAGGGTTAGGGTTAGGGTTAGGGTTAGGGTTAGGGTTAGGTTAGGGTTAGGGTTAGGGTTAGGGTTAGGGTTAGGGTTAGGGTTAGGGTTAGGGTTAGGGTTAGGGTTAGGGTTAGGGTTAGGGTTAGGGTTAGGGTTAGGGTTAGGGTTAGGGTTAGGGTTAGGGTTAGGGTTAGGGTTAGGGTTAGGGTTAGGGTTAGGGTTAGGGTTAGGGTTAGGGTTAGGGTTAGGGTTAGGGTTAGGGTTAGGGTTAGGGTTAGGGTTAGGGTTAGGGTTAGGGTTAGGGTTAGGGTTAGGGTTAGGGTTAGGGTTAGGGTTAGGGTTAGGGTTAGGGTTAGGGTTAGGGTTAGGGTTAGGGTTAGGGTTAGGGTTAGGGTTAGGGTTAGGGTTAGGGTTAGGGTTAGGGTTAGGGTTAGGGTTAGGGTTAGGGTTAGGGTTAGGGTTAGGGTTAGGGTTAGGGTTAGGGTTAGGGTTAGGGTTAGGGTTAGGGTTAGGGTTAGGGTTAGGGTTAGGGTTAGGGTTAGGGTTAGGGTTAGGGTTAGGGTTAGGGTTAGGGTTAGGGTTAGGGTTAGGGTTAGGGTTAGGGTTAGGGTTAGGGTTAGGGTTAGGGTTAGGGTTAGGGTTAGGGTTAGGGTTAGGGTTAGGGTTAGGGTTAGGGTTAGGGTTAGGGTTAGGGTTAGGGTTAGGGTTAGGGTTAGGGTTAGGGTTAGGGTTAGGGTTAGGGTTAGGGTTAGGGTTAGGGTTAGGGTTAGGGTTAGGTTAGGGTTAGGGTTAGGGTTAGGGTTAGGGTTAGGGTTAGGGTTAGGGTTAGGGTTAGGGTTAGGGTTAGGGTTAGGGTTAGGGTTAGGGTTAGGGTTAGGGTTAGGTTAGGGTTAGGGTTAGGGTTAGGGTTAGGGTTAGGGTTAGGGTTAGGGTTAGGGTTAGGGTTAGTTAGGGTTAGGGTTAGGGTTAGGGTTAGGGTTAGGGTTAGGTTAGGGTTAGGGTTAGGGTTAGGGTTAGGGTTAGGGTTAGGGTTAGGGTTAGGGTTAGGGTTAGGGTTAGGGTTAGGGTTAGGGTTAGGGTTAGGGTTAGGGTTAGGGTTAGGGTTAGGGTTAGGGTTAGGGTTAGGGTTAGGGTTAGGGTTAGGGTTAGGGTTAGGGTTAGGGTTAGGGTTAGGGTTAGGGTTAGGGTTAGGGTTAGGGTTAGGGTTAGGGTTAGGGTTAGGGTTAGGGTTAGGGTTAGGGTTAGGGTTAGGGTTAGGGTTAGGGTTAGGGTTAGGGTTAGGGTTAGGGTTAGGGTTAGGGTTAGGGTTAGGGTTAGGGTTAGGGTTAGGGTTAGGGTTAGGGTTAGGGTTAGGGTTAGGGTTAGGGTTAGGGTTAGGGTTAGGGTTAGGGTTAGGGTTAGGGTTAGGGTTAGGGTTAGGGTTAGGGTTAGGGTTAGGGTTAGGGTTAGGGTTAGGGTTAGGGTTAGGGTTAGGGTTAGGGTTAGGGTTAGGGTTAGGGTTAGGGTTAGGTTAGGGTTAGGGTTAGGGTTAGGGTTAGGGTTAGGGTTAGGGTTAGGGTTAGGGTTAGGGTTAGGGTTAGGGTTAGGGTTAGGGTTAGGGTTAGGGTTAGGGTTAGGGTTAGGGTTAGGGTTAGGGTTAGGGTTAGGGTTAGGGTTAGGTTAGGGTTAGGGTTAGGGTTAGGGTTAGGGTTAGGGTTAGGGTTAGGGTTAGGGTTAGGGTTAGGGTTAGGGTTAGGGTTAGGGTTAGGGTTAGGGTTAGGGTTAGGGTTAGGGTTAGGGTTAGGGTTAGGGTTAGGGTTAGGGTTAGGGTTAGGGTTAGGGTTAGGGTTAGGGTTAGGGTTAGGGTTAGGGTTAGGGTTAGGGTTAGGGTTAGGGTTAGGGTTAGGGTTAGGGTTAGGGTTAGGGTTAGGGTTAGGGTTAGGGTTAGGGTTAGGGTTAGGGTTAGGGTTAGG